ATGTGTCTTTAGTCTTCTTCAATCTAGAACAGTTCCTCAGTCTTTCCTCGACTTTCATGACCTTGACATTTGTAAAGGTTACAGTTCAGTTATTTTGTAGAGTGTCCCCCATTTGGGTTTGTCGGACATTTCCTTATGATAGATTTAGGTCATGCCTCTTTGCCAGGAGTGTCACATAAACAATGCTCTGTCCCTTTTTTTGCATTCTATCAACTGGTGCATCCATTGCTGAGGAGGTTCACTTGATCATTTGCTTAAACTAATGCTAATATGTTAGTTTCCTGTGGCTGCATACAAATTACCATAAACTGGTGACTTAAAGCAACAGCAGTGTATTCTCTCACAGTTCTAGAGGCCAGAAGTCAAAATCAAGGTGTTGCAGGGTCACGCTTCCCTGAAGGCTCTAGGGGAACAGCCAGGCCTTGCCTCTTCCAGCTACTGGAGGTTTTGGGCATTTCTTGGCTTCCTTGGCTTGTAGCTGCATCACTTCAATCTCTGTCTCTGTCTTTATATTGCCTTTTTCTCTGAGTGTCTCTTCCAAGGATACTTGTCATTGAATCTAGTGCCCAGCTGGATAACCCAGGATGATGTCCTCATCTCAAGATCCTTAACTTAGTTACATCAGCAAAGACTCTTTTTCCAAGTAATGTAACAATTCACACAGGTTCTCAGGATTAAGATATAGATAGACCTATCTTTTTGGAGACCACCATTCAGCCACTATAGCCAGGTTTTTCCATTTTAAAGTTGCTCTTTTTTCCCTTTGTAATCAGTAAGTATTTTGTGGGGAGATGCTTTGAAACTATGTGAATACTACATATAACAGTTCAAGTCGTCCCCATTTTGGTCACTGGGAGCCCCTTCAGGCTGGCTTCTGTATCCATTTGACATGTCTCCATCATTCTTTGAGCGCTTCCTTACTTTCTGGCATAATGAGATGTTCCAGGTTCATCTTGTGCTTGACCTTCTCCAGCCCTGGAATCAGCTATTTCTCCAAGGAGCCCTAGTTCATTTTAGTGGCAAATAGTATTTAGAAACTGAGGTCTAAGTGGTGAGTGNTTTGTGGTTTCCATGTTGTCTCCTCTGGATGCCATCTCATCTAGGCCCTTGGGTAAGGATGCTGTGCACATCCTCTTTGTATCTAACCTGAATTCTTCTGGCTGTGATTTGAGCTTAAAGTCAGTACAGTAATACCTTGGTTTGCGAGCATAATTCATTCCAGAAACAAATGACTCATATTGCAAGACATTGCTCGTTTACCACGTTAAAAAGTATTAGAAATGATACTTTCAACCACGTCACTCACAATCCAGGGTTTCACTGTATTTGGAATTCCCAGGTTGTTACTCCCCATGTGAAAGAAAGAAAGAAAAATCACCTGTAAAGCCCAAGGTGCAGACAATTTTGTGGTAGAACACCCTGGAAGGAGCTTCCGGGACTCAATCTCATTACCAAGACAGTCACTTTCCACATTTCCAGAGGCCAGCCTCTATAGGGGCCCCAGTTCACCCTGGAAATTTTCCCACAAAACGGTTTACCTATTTTACCATTGCCTGGTGGTGACCACCTCCCAATCCAACTGATCCCCTTGACGGAAAGGCTCTGGAATTTCCCTTGGGCGCAGCCCTGAATGGAAAGAGCATGTATGGTGTGTGTCCCGAAGGAGGGACAGGCCCAGGACTGCCAGTCTGGGAGGGGAACTGCTGAAGGAGAGTAGCCAGTGCCTCTTACCTTGGAGTAGGAGGAAACTGAGGATCGCCCAGCACAGCTGCGTTGCTCCCACAGTCCCCATGTCAGCTGGGTCTGTGACGGGCAGACAGCTGCTCTGTGAAGGCTCTGTCCATAGTGGAGAAGAGAGAGGGAGTGCTAGGGCGGGGAGGGGGTGGGGTCTGGCTCTCCAGGAGCTTCCTGTCAAAGAATAGAAGGAAACAGATTGGGACTGGCTCCAGGGGCCCTGCTCAGCTGGACAGCCCAGATGAGGATGTAAGGCTGAAACATCAGCAACTGCGCCCAGGGCTGGGGATGGGGGCTGGGCTCCACGTGGCCTGGGCTAGGGCCACTGTGGTCTCTTCCAGGGCCTGTGCACCAAGACCTGTGATGGCAACCTGCCCCCTGCCCCCTTTCTTCCCCTTCTAAGGGTCCATCAGGTCCCTCCATACGCCACCTAGAGATTTTCCTGGAGTGTAACTCTAGCCCCTCCCCATACTGTTTTAGACCATAAAGCTCGGCCCACCGCCGCCCATGATCTGTAGACTCTGAATTCTCCACATTCCTCTCCCTCCTCAGAGCTCCCAATGCAAATGGAACGCCCAGTATCTTACGTTATTGTTCTTCTTAATAGAAAAACAGGAGGACCACATTCCAAGCATCCCTCCACTCTCCCAACATTGGAGTCAGGCAGTCCTTATGCTCCAGAAGCACCTTTGTCCTTAGCATCAGCCAGCACACATCCCACA